ATCCTAAGGATGCCTGTAACATGGGAGGTCTGGCTGAATCTGCACTGGGAGCAGTACCTGGGACACTGGGGTAACTCCTGGAGGCTAATTGATGGCTGTGCTTCTGCTAGAATTCATCCTTTTCAGCCAAGCTTCTGCTTTCTCTTGTGAAAAGAGAGTTTCTTCCCCTTACAGTGCACCAAACAGCAGGAATTCTTAACAAAAAAAAAAAAAAAAAAAAAAAAAAAAAGATCAATGCCTCTGTTCAGTCTCTCCTCATCTACTCCACAGCTAATACACCCACCTGCATTTAAAGGCTCTATTCCCAGTGCCCTCCCACCTGGCATTTGCCCAATTCTATTGTCAAAAGCAAGTGGTGTTGATAACTTTAATTTTATTAAGCTATGGCTCAGGAAACTGAGTCACCAATCTGGTGGCACTACTCATTTGAACTGAGCTTTACTGAAGAGTTCTTCTACACCAGAGCATCTTGCTTAAAATGCAAGAGAATCTCCCAATGCAGACAGAATTCCAAGCCTTAACTAATCCTAGCAATGCTAAACATTATTATGATGGACCCGACACTCATGAATGAGTATCAAGGCCATTTAACAACAAATTAGTAGTCCAAATATATATTACCGGGAATTAGAAAGGACCAAGTTGAAAATAACAGAACTTTAGGAATATTAACAAAGCAGCAGCAGCTATGGGCAAAATGCTAAATTAAACTTCAGATGCCACAAACGGAAAAAAAAGGGGAAGGAATCAGGGTGCAGATTTCTGCATACAAGGCTGTATCTCCAGCCACCCCACTTTATACTAGCAGTTCGGAATGAGTCCTACACAATAAAAGGCCAATCTTTATGCCAACTGCATCATATCCGAACTCGATACACCAGTTCTGGTGCACATATTGACATTACTGGGCCAGGGACTGGCCAAAGTCCATCACAACCAAAAATGCTAATCAGTGGGGATTGTTAGGTGATCCAAGTGGGAGTTAACTGTAACTTAGTGACATGTCTGAACGTTTTTTTTCCAGAAGACTGCCTAGGTTTTTCAGAAAGTGGACTAGGCGATACTTATCCTGCATGAGGTTTGCATTCTCGCATGCTTTATACTGGGACATACCTGTCCTCATGTCCAGATTTCTGATGTAGCCAAGTGTTTCCCATTTTAAAGTTTGGGGTTTGTCTGGGGTTTGGTTTTGTTTTATTATCCTCTGAAATCCATTACATCTTAACCAAACTATCATATCAGTAGCTCTTTGGTCTAGGGCAAAAATATACTTTAAATATTGTATACAGACTTAATAAACTTCTTTAAAATCATACTCTGCTCTAAGATGTTCACACAAGGTAGATCTCTGCTCTCAAATACAAGACTTCCTGTCTTCTACCAATGAAGCACTATCTTGGCAAGCAGAATACAGGAATCCATTTAAGGGTAAAACAGACTTTTAAACCCTGCCTGGCGAAGTGAAGGATAAGATGGCAAGCTACCACAGTAGTTAGATGCATCTTAGTGGAAGAGAACATGATAATCTAAACATCCCTGGGCAATCTCTTGGCCTACAGATCACTGCAGCAACACAAAAAGAGACAGCTTGATCTTTTTAAGTCTTCAACATGAAAGTCAGAATCCAGATGGAGAGATTTATCAAGTCATTCTCCTGTGGACATTAAGACTAGACAAGGGCCATCTCCTTCCAACATCTGTCCCATCTTATAGGCAGCTAGAAATTGACATGTTGTGTGGAGGCAGCACCACTTACTTGGCCTTTTTAAAGAGTCTATTTAGGCCAGAGACCATGCAAGCACACCACGCTTGAGACAACAGAGCCTGCCAGAGCCACAGGGAAAGGGGTATAACAGTCAATGGCTGGTACAAGGTACTGTGAACCTGCTTCATTGTCCAACTGCCAACACAGGAACTCATGGTACTCTGAAAGTAGGTTACTTCAGCGCCTCAAGCCAGTCTCATAGTTGGTTCCCATTCAGGGGTCAGGTTAAAAGCTTCTGATCAGAGGGATGGAAAATTTGGGAGAAAGGTCCCATTAAAGTCCCCCTTCCCTGGATGGGGCATTTGTTTTAATCTTCCTGGAGGGTGCAAAACACCTGCCTGTATTCCCTGGCTTTTTGTTATTCCCAGAAAATATGAAATTAGCTACCCTTCTCAACTAACATTTATCAGACAATCCAGATGAAGTCAAGTAGATTCAAATACTAGGAGTCTAACTATCAAGATCCATAGGTGTCAATATCTGCTTGAGCAGAAGAGCCATGGGTCATGAAGCATGATGTAGAATAAGACAGCTAGGGTGATAGCCAGGGAATTTCCAATATTCAGTGGTTCCCTACAACCAACTAGGTAACCCTCTCCTGTTTTAGCAAAGCACATCACTCCCCCCAGCACAGGTGACTAGAAATCAAGTTTCTCTCAATGAAAAGTAGTGAGGAAGTTGACACTAGATAACAGAGTAATAATGAGGTAGACTGATACTGACTGGCTCCAATCACTTGACTTTACAGAATGAATATAAAAGCTAGCGTGCTCAGAGGCTGCAGAAGTAAATCCTAAGTGTTGGAGTTACCGGTGGCTCACTACCTGAGAATTAGGATATTTAATTTAGATGGGTTCCTCTGCACTGCCTTATACATCCGATTGTACTGTAGCAAAAATAGGTTAGACGGTGTCTACATACTTTTTGAGTCAACATCTTCTCTCTAGCTTCATCATGTATAGCTGGATTCCATGGAGAGAAGCTACAGGAGAAAGGAGAAGCATTATAAAAGCTTATGCAGGTGAAATTAGTGTAAAATAATTTCTAAATTAGATAGGAGTCAGTGACACAAATCATCCAAATTCTACTTTTTCAGCTTTTCCACAATGTGCAAAATATTATTTCCAGCTGAGCACAAAGGTGCATTCTACACTATAGAATGGCATCTTATAGGTTTAATCTACTTGGTAACAAGCACATGGATGCACATTTCTGCCAATATTGACACCAAGAACTTGTTTCTTTAGCAGCCAGATAATTCCTAACAGTACTAACTTCCCAACCCAAATGCTCAACACATCCGTAGAAACTGAAGCCATCATAAAAATATGACCACTGCAGCAGTTCAAGCCACATGTATGCATATTCAACTTGACATACCTGAAAGCAAGGTTCATTTTAAAAAGGTACCTTATTTAAAAGGTGAAGGAACACTTCAGTTACTGCAGTTACACCAACCTTTTGTTGCTGTGACCCTAAATTAGCCACCAACAGGACCTCCCAACCTGGCACTGCGGGGGCTGCTGGGAGTGGAGTGTAGCTGCGACCCACCCACCACTACCAGGCCATGTGAGTGAGTGTATGTATGTGTGGGCCTTTCGTGACCCTGGTTTGGGTCACGCCCAGAGGTTGGGAACCAATGAGTTACTGAATACACAAGGTGAGAACACAATAATCATAATAAACTTACAGAAACAAGTCTGAGTCATTAAACCAGAAGTAACTGCCAAATTAGTACCCATTCAAAAGTTATAGCAGGGCTGTTTTTGAATCTAACAGTCAAACATATGGACTTTGTTATAATCAATTTGCTACTCACGTAATTGCATAGGGATCTTCTATTTTAGGCTGGTCAAATAAGTGACTGCTGCATAGTTTGACACTGTCTACAACCTTACTTTTGAACAGTTGAATGTCTTTTTCATATCTAGAAAAGAAACCAGTTTTAACACTTCATATAACATTAGCAAGGTTGCAAGCTATTTCTAGTCTTCAGACGAGTCAACCAGAAGAACTATGGCTTAGGCTTAGATGCTCACAACCAGCTAACAAGTTGTACTAAGAAGTAATACAGTAAGTACTTCACACCATGTCACAAATGTTTGGTTCTTTTAAAAATCTTATTTTGTCTAAGTAAATAGACTGTTAGTTTGTAAACTATTCATAGTCCAAATAAGTTGAGGACACTTACAGCACTGCAGCCTCTGGATTCAAAGGACTTGTTGTATCAATCTTGTAGAAGACCCTACGAGCATACATTAGTACTTGCCATATGTGATTATGGTTCCGCCTAAATGAAGAATACAGCATTAGTGTGGCATCATCTTCAATAATCAAAAGACTACATGTCTACTTCAATACTGACCTCCATTTTGCAAATGCTCTTTTCACATCCAGTTCACCCGAGAGGGGATCTACTAGTGGATGAAAGACTGGTAGATCAAAAACCAAGCGCTGCAGTAGAGAGGGAAAAGAAAATTTCCAAGTCACTTTACAAAAGTCAAAATCTAGGTGTAAATTCACTTATTGATAAAAACAAGGATTTATAGCTATGCACTTCATGGCTAGCACACAGTTAAGAATTTGGGCATAAGTAAAAAGAGACCTCTTAAGAGTCGCTTGTGATAGAAAGCCATTTTTTATTTTTTTTGTTAGAAGTTACACTTAACATTTCTCTAGTCTCACTCAAGACATTTCCATTTTATTCTGAATGTTTAACAGCATAGCCTTTTGGCCAATCCCACTTCAAGGTCATAGCTTTTACACTTTTTCCTGTCTAAATCCCTGTAAGCTGACTATTAGTTTTGATAGGAAAATGATTTCAAACACCAAAGGTGGCATACATATATAGATACTGGCATAAAGCATGCCATTAAGTTTTGACATTACTTGATGTTTCCCCACTGATAATGTCCCTGTAAAAGGGACATTGAAGCTCCTTGTAAAAGACTATCAAGTGAACTGGTTGCTTTCAGCTTTTAGTGACTGCTGTTTTCAGCCAAGATAGCCTCCCCATAGGATCAGAATTATTTTTCTAGAAACTTGGACAAACTCCCTCAGTTTGCTCCGAAAGCAGCTAAACAAACTGATCTCTCAGGAATGGACAAAGTATTCTAGTACATACCTAGGTGTGGTCATGCAGTATATGCTGCTGTAAACATTTGCAGCAGCACATACCACACAGTCCATTGTTCTCCGCACTGCAAGGGCATGCTGCTTGAGCGTGCACTGCACCAGGTTTTTTGACCCCCTGAATACCCAGGGGTCAAAAAAACCCACAAAACAAACAAACAAACAAAAAAAAAAACAGAGCAACGCACACTTGGCCAGCACTTGCTGCTGAAAAGTGGAGCTGGCCCGCCCAGAGCCAGGCTCCGCTGCCTGCCAGGCTCCAAGGAGCAGAATCACTACAGCTGCAACCTCGGGAGGCCCCCAGGTAAAAGCTGCTGGCCCCAGCCTCCCTTACCCCACCTGGGACAACTTGCCACATGCCAAAGCATACATGGCACAGGTGTGTTCCTGGGGAACCGAGTATCCATGAGCATCTGGACATGCCCTAGTTGTACAAAGGTATGCAAAATGAATATTGCTGTGCAAAAAAAAACGTGTAAAAGGCTCAGCAGAAAGAAGTTAAGACTCCCTCTTCTCACCCCCGTTTTCTTGCAACTTTCCCTGTTTTATGTGCAACAAATTCATATGCCAGAAATACTGCAGTTTAACAGAAGGCCAAGCATTGCATTGATATCTTACTACATTATTATTTCTGTGCGTAGTTTTTTTTTTGTTCATGCTTACAGTTTGGCACTTAATTTACATAATCAAAGCTGTAACAAAAATTAGAGAAACAATACAAGCAATTCCCTTTCAGCTTAAGAAGTGATTAGTTGTCAGCTACTCTAAGAGAGACCTACGCATCCAGTGTTTTACAATAACCTCTCAGTGAGGCTTGGCAACCAAAATTTAGGGCCCAAAATCACTAGTAGATAAGTGAATGAGCTACGCACAGTTAACGTCACTCCCTAAGCAGTCTGGGAGGAGTTACTATAAAGAAATGCTTTCTCCAGATCACAAGCAGGGTACAGCGAAAGCTCTAGCCACATAGCAGCAGTGCAGTTTTCACTACCTCAGTGAACTAAACCAGTTCAACACATTTTCGTCTAACCCCTAAAAAGGAAGGAGTCAAAAAAAAAAATCAGTTAAATAAAACACTTACCGGGCAATCACCATCTGGGTAGTTATCAGGAATATAGACTGTAAATTTAAACACCCCATCCTGGTAGAGTCCATGCCTAATAAATATTACTCCAAACCACACTGCAAGCAAAGAGAATCATGAATGGGTACAAGCCACTCAAAAAGATAGGATAATTGAAACACCTGCTCCTGAACTTACTTAATGCTGATCGGTAAGAAGGCTGCACGTAGACTCCTGGTAACTTCTGCTTTACAACCAAGGTGCTGTAATTAGAATCAGTGTTTCAAATGAATAGGTCCAACAAGGACTGTATTGATCTAATACAATCTGCAGCAGGAGTTAAAAGAAAGCCTTTTTTGGCAGGGGAGGGAAGAAAAGAAAAAGGGGTCTACTAATATTTTTTTAAATGTCCTACAAATCCCTTGTTAAAAGTTGTGCGCTCAGAGGAGAAAGAACAAGGAACTAAGAAATTGTTTCCCTCCACCCTTTCATTTAAAGGGACACAGACCACATCTACATGAGATGACTGTGCAGTAACAACTGCGCGGTTAGCATTTAGTACTTGCGTACACAAGTATTAAATGACTGAACAATAACCAGTGTTACTGTGCAGTAGTGTCCCCACACAGCTTCATGGGGACACTAACTGCACTGTAGCTCTTTACTGCTGTGTAGTACAACATTGCATCATGGTTCCTGACGTGCAATACCACTGCGCAGTAGTAACAAGCTACTGTCTAGTGAGCGTCTTGTGTATATGCAGCCACTACTGGGAAGTTTACTCCTTTTTATTATACGATTATTGTAGTTGAAAGTCTAATCTTTGAATATTAAAATGCCAACACATTTTCAGTTTCTACTTATAGCGAGTGTCTTCAGTTTTTAGGTCTTAAGCTTCTCTTTTAACCGTGTTAAGACAGGCAAATTTTAAAAGCTACACTAACAGAGGCACTTTAGGACAAATGCACTGACTACTACTTGGTAATAACTTAAGGGGGGGAAAAAAAGGAACCCATCCTTAACATACAACTTAGAGATGTTTTTCAGTCATAAACTATGACTTTACCTGCAAGTGAGGTAGTTTTTCCTGCAAGAGATGAAAAGAACAAGAAAGTGTGTGCAAGACAATGCCAACAGGAACAGGCTAAGCCATTTGGTCCAAAGCAAACAGGAGGAGGCAGGCTGAGCCCCTACCCTACTTGACATTTCTTATCATGCAAGTCATCAACTTGTAACTTTAGGTCACACCTGTCAGTGCAATATGACCTGTTTCCCCACCCACCTCTACCCCCTCTCCCCTTCATGAGACAAAGTAGGGGTTGCAAACCTGCAGCATGCATGCCATAAGTGGCACAGGAAGCCTGTTTGTGGTACACAGCACACTGGGAAGGGGACAGGCAGCACAGTGGCAGATGAACTAGAGCAGCCCTCAGGGAGGGTAAGAGTCTGATCTGTGGCATGCCAGCCAAAAAGGTTGGGTTCAACTGATATAAAAACACTTGTCATTACCATGCTAATACAGAATAAGAGGACTGAGTCTTACTGAAAATAGAAGGCCACTACTGGCCTAGTAACTGCCACGAACGGCATCAGATACAACTAGATCAAACATTATTTGTTACAGAAGCCCTCATAAGTGAAGTGCCTCATTTGCCCTAATGCATCAGCAATTACTTAAAACTGCTTTGGGATACTCAGCAATGTCATCATAAGATAGACTCATACAGTCAGAGGGGATGGACACCCCCTCCACACACACAATGCAGCTCAGGCAGAAGTCTGTATAACATTCTTAATAGAAAGGTTTTTTGTGTTTTTGGTTTGTTTTTACAAGAGCTCTCATTTTCCACTTAATGATTTTTAATGCAGAGTATGAGCATTAGCATTGCATCAGGGCTTAAGGAAGTTACATTCCAAAAGCAGCTGCACAGCTAAGAATTCACAGACAGCACTGCAAGTCACGTATTTCACAGCACAGATAAGCAAGTTATTAAAATGAAGTTGTATAAATAAATATGCACTTGTTTTCAGATTGTCTGGACACTTCTGTGGAAAGCAAAATGCTGACTATTTACACTGCAGCAGCTCCTCTCCTTGAAAGCTTCATGCTAGAAACCATTAGGACCATTCCATTACTAGCATCTATTTCTATGGTTGAAAGAGGCAGTCCACCTGTTACCCCATATTACCAAAAAGTTACGAAAGGAGTACAGTCTACTCCAATTAGAGATATATATGCCTTTTTGCTGCTTCCAGAGAGGACATTTCCTGGCATTAAAACAGTTTTTGATATCCTGTCAGAATGTTAAAGCTCCTCACCTTCTACAGCTACTTACCCCTCTCCAGATGCAAGCAATTTTGTATTCTTTTCTGCATAAATGATTATGCATATTGTTCTTACAAAGTCCAAAAATACAAGAACTATTACAGCTGTTCCTTACATGTTTTTTTTTGGAGCTTAAGGCCAAAAAGGAAAAAATGTAAAATTAAATAAATAAATAAAATTATATATTCAACTTACAATTCTGCCAGGAGGGAGTACTCCAAGTAGAAAGGCCCATAGGAGGCATGTGTTCCATTTGTAGACTGGGAAGAAGGGGCAGGGGAAGCAGGTTTAGTTACTGGCACAGTATTTTTAGGAATAGAAGGCAACTGTTTCTTTGTAGAGGTGCGTGGAGGACTGGTTCTCAGCTCTCCAGTCAAAGTCTTTTCTTCAGCTTCAGGTCTCTGTTACATAAAGCACATGACACATTTCCACTCAAGTTTGTGCAAGAATCGTAGCGCAAGTTTAAGATTTTATAGAACAGACATACACATGCTCCCTCCCACCCCCCAAGTTACACTTGGGATTTAGAGATGCTATCTTATTTGTTCTTACAAACTCACAGATGATTGATACCAAATTTCCTTCCTTTACAGAATTTGACTTGATTAGAAACAGCTTGTTATTATGAAATCAGAACTCTGCTCAAACTTCAGCCAGTATCTACTAGTTTAGGTCTACAAATTAAAGCAAATCTATAAAAGTCTTCACAATGTTTACTCAAACCTAATACCTGCCTCTAAAACACTAGCAAAGAATTGACTGATTCTGAAACACCTACCATACTCAGATAAACTGTAACAACTCTCCCAACAGACTTAGTTACACACTGCACAGTGGAGATCTTAGAAGTAGCACAGTAAAGCAGAGGTGAAACAAAGTATTACGTTCTGGAGAACAGAGTTGCAGTAAGGAATGCCTTCCACTTCAATCTTGTGCTGAGGCAGCCACATCATAACTGCATTGATTATGCTAGCCTGCCCTTAGTGTTTTAGAATCAGAACCAGGTACTGGATGAATTACAGACAGCAGAAACTGTTCATGGAGGTAACATACAGATGTTCTTTAAACAAATGCTTAACAATCTGATATATTAGACAGTATAATCTATAGTTGGCTATCTGCCCACAAAAGGATCACAAGCAGTCAGGTCCAACATGTCTTGTTAAGAGTTTGAGAAATGGATTAACTGAAAAATATCCAAACAAATACTACCATTATAACTTGCACCACTGCTGGTAATCTGAGACAGAGGACTGAGACTGAGCTTTGTACGAGAACGTATGTCTAAATGGTAGCATAATGCAAAGAGTCATCTCAACTGTGTTATGAACCTATTTACTTATTATTTAGATGTATATCCTGTCCTACCTAAAAAGGCTCAAGCCAACTTACAACAGAAGACAGCCCATAAGATAAGAAACAAGAGATTCTTGACATTCCATAACCTTAAAATGTCCACCCCCACCAACCTTCCTGCCAGTACCCTGGCTACGGACAGAAGTTGCACATAAACTAGTTTAAGTGACCAGAAACCAGTTCAAATCTGTAACACAACAGAAGTTCAGTGTACTTAAACCACTTTCAAAATGGCTGAAAACTGGTTTAAAATAAACCTGGTTGGATAAAATATCAGACTTAACCAATTTAGGTCAAACCAGTTTATGAAGCTTGTCCCAGACCCCTTCCCAGTTCAAGTTGGCTCACAGTTCCCCAGCATCTCAGGATGCTTTGCAGCCCTGGGCTGAGCTGTCTGCTCCAGCCAAGCCTAGCTGTAGCGCTCTGGCTAGTTGAGAAATGGATGGGAGTACCCAAGTGTGGACCCCAAATGGAGTCTGCCTTGGGGAAGGGGGAGAAAAGGGGGACCAGCCCCCACAGGATTTTCCCCTGCTCAAGCAGAGAGGCAGGTATGGCCAGGCCCCAGCCACGGCCAGCATGCTGGGGTAGGGGGCGGGGGGGAGAAGGGGTGGTTTAAACCCGCACATTAGCTCACATGGGACCCCAGCCTGGGTCTGCCTGGGAAGTGGGGGTGGGGACAGACTCTGCTTGAGCAGGGAACAGTGTGGGCAAAAGTCTAGCAGGGACTGCCTCCCCCCCAGCAGACCGCAGTGGGTTTAAGTCCCCTGCTCCCTCCCCACCTCAGTGTACTGGCCCCACACCAGAGTGCGGCCATGCTACCCGCTCTTCACTTGAGTGCGAAGTAGGGGCAAAAGCCTGGTAACGGTTCCCCCCCTCCCCCCAAGCAGGGAACCTGAGGGCAAATGTCAGGAAGCAGGGGGTGCAAAAACTTGGCAGGGACTGCCCCTCATTGGCAGACCGTAGCTGGGGTCTTGTGCCGACCAGATCCCTCTCAGCATGGTTGCTCAGGCCCAGGAGTGGGGGTAAGCCTGGCACCTTCCCCAGCAGACCTGGGCTGGAGCCCCATGTGGGCCACGGTTTAAAGTCCCCTTCCCAGTGTGCTAGCCCCGGGCTGGGGCCTGACCACATCCCCCCTCCACTTAAGCAGGGAGAAGTGAGGGAAAAAGCCCTGGAAGGCTTCTCTCCCAGCTTCCCTCCCTTCCCTTTAGTAGCAAACAGCAGACTGGGAGGCACGCTCTAGCACCCCCCAGCTTCAGGCCTGAGCCACTGCAGGCATGTGGGCTGCATTTCTGGAATCAAAAGTGACTGTGTGTTGACTTGCTTCTCCGTTCAGTCCAAGCAGTTTAGACTAATCTGCAAAAGTTGAATCAATTCAGCCTCTGGCTTTTTGACAGTCTGCATTTAGCCTGAGAGCAAACCCTCCCAATCATACCAGTGTGTTTCCTAATCCCATTCACATATCAGTGTACACAAGACCTCTTCCCACTCATCCCCTCCCCAATAGCTACTCAATCCCATTCCCCTACTTCTCACCCAAGGGAGATCCCTCTCCTCCTACCCCCTCCCCGCAGTGTCCCTTCCAACCCACACCTCTCCCCTACTAGGATCTGAGGCTGTCCCCAAAAGACACACACATCCCCCCCATTGCTTCCAATAAACACAACTCTGAATTCAAAAAACCTAACACAGAAACAAAGAAAGACCTTCTGCCAGTGCCTCCACCCCCAGTGAAGGGCAGTGCCCAAGGGCAACTTTAGGAGTCATCTGGTAGCCTTTTTGTCAATACTTTAAAGCAACACTTTTGAACTGGTGTGCCAAGGCATGCTGGTGTGCCAGGAGAAGACTCGCACATGTGTTGGCTGTGGGACAAAAAGACCAGCCAAACAGAAGGAAGTTCATCTACTGCACGTGTTGCCTGTGGGGGATGCACTGTTTGCCAGCCTCTGAACAGCTGTGCCATGAAATTTTGCCACAGCCATGAGCTACAATGAGCACATGGGGAATGCCTTAACAGGTGTACCACAGAAAGGTTGAGAAACACTGCTTTAAAGCGCTGTCACCATAAGCACCCAAGTTATTCATAATTTGAAGGATATATGCTTATTTCACTACGCAAAATAAAAAGATGTTCTCACCTAAACGGAAGGAAGGCTACACTTAGAAGCACAACACCTGTAGTGATCAGTAATTATGCGCATAAGTTTAGCAATACAGCTCCAGTTTGAGAAGGCATGTTTATCACAAATTAGTCAAATTAATGCAAAATCCATGATAGTAAAACTATGGCATTCCCTAGCATTCTTACTTGACTGACTCCACACTTATGACTTGCATATAAGAGTCCTTTAACATACAGTTTAGAGAAGAAAAAATCCTCATGTCTGTATAAGTCAAGTATTCCTATCTAAATTCTCATCGCTATGGCCATTAGCCACCCTCTGAAGGCTGGAAAGAAAGCAAACTAAGGTAGGTTTTTGATTCATAGGTACAATTACAATCAGCCACATGAGAAGCAAACTACTGTGACAGCAAGCTATGCAGCTATGCTTTTTCTTCCCCAGCAGAGCTGAAGATAGATAGCTGCAAATAGCAGGTTGTAATAATCATTTACTTAAATGATGTTGATGGGTTTTAAAGGAATCTCTAGTGGGGTGCAAAAGGTTTTTTTAAGTTTTACAAGAAAAAGGTCTAGTTACATCTTAACCATTGGTTTAACCCAGAGCATCAATACCATAAAAACTGTAACAAGTTTGGCTAAGAACAGCAACACAGCTCAAGTTACCAATATCTGTCTCTGAGGTGTTCACAAATTTGACCTTCACGTAAGGATTCCAAGCTACAAGTAATGTAGACATTATGCTGCAATAAAAGCAGCACATCAGATACTTTTACTAGAGTGCAATCTTAGCCACTGACTACCGCTACTTCCCATTGTACCTCTAGAATTATCCAAGTTGGACTAAAGGCTTAGTATTTTTATAATCCTCTTAAGGAGATTTCCTTCCCAATTTGGAATCTGTGAGATCCCATTTGTAGTTATTTTATATAGTTATTGGGGTAATTTAAGTTCACATTTGTTTTGAAATACTGTCCAGGGCAGTTTGAAGAGGGATGAACATCTCTGTAATGAATATGCTCCATTCATTACAATATCTACCTTGCGTGCAGAACTTGTAGACATGCTCCAGAAAGGGTTCATAACGTGTATGCCGAGCAAAGGACAACTTCTCTACGTCTTCAGACTCTCCAATGCAGTCACTCTTTCCTTAAAAAAAAAACAAAACAAAACAAAACAAAAAACACCAAAAAACCACAGTATTAGATAATAGAGAGTCTGCATCTTAACATGCAAGCAACATGTATTTAGGGACATATCTAATAGTTAATTAAAATGAAGTAAATCCAACAGAAGTTTCTACTATAGCAGCAGACAACTTCAACAAGTTTTTAACACCTCCTCTTCATTAAAACACAAAAACATTCATACAGTCACCTCTATTT